AATGTGTGAGGAATACCTAAAAAAGACAGATGTCTTTGTTTCTACGTGAATTATTCCGTTTTCCTTTAAAATCAAGCAATGCAGCTGTTTTAGTTAGTGTGTGTGTAAAGTGCTGCACATCTTGTCATCCTTATCATGACTTAGTTGCTTCTTTGGACACGGGGAGGAAATGAAACAAGGGAACGTAATCAATGAAGCTGAGGACTGACTAGAATACAATACATGCCCTTGTGTTTATACTCACAAGTTCAGGCACACTCACAGACATATCAACACACTATATAATCACATCTTCACAATGGAAGATGTATGTGTGTCACTTATAAAAGTAATTTATGCACAGCCTTAATTGAAATTGTTATCAAAATCAATTTGGCGCCTTTTAATAGGATGAGAGCGAAGAGGTTTGCAAGAGAGTCTGTTCCCTGGATGATGCATTTGTTCAAAAGGAGGAGTCGATTGGGGACTGTTTATTTTTTCTCTGGTCTGAAAACGTGCACTGCAATTTTTTTTAGGAAACTAGATTAATTGAAATTATTGCTTATTTATGTTAATAGGAAAGGTTTATGACAGGGTCTGTGTGATCATCTGTGAAGTCTAATATACATCAAACACAGCTGAGAAACCAATATATATATTTTTTTATGGATTCACAAAAATCTAAATCAAAATTCTATTCTTGGTATGTCCAAGGCTAAATGTGTTGTATGTTTCCAAGATAAACTGCCCTAAAATTAAAGTACCAAGGAACGCTAGCCATTATTTCCAAAGTTTTCTCTCTGAACCTATGTACCTATGAACATATCTGAAATTATTTTAAGTGCATTTTGCCAAACCAGCTTAATTCATAGGAAGTAACCTAAGTTGTTTTTATAAAACACAACAAATAGAATACAGTGAAAAAATGTTTTAGTAATCATTTGTTTTTGACATTTAAATATGCCAAAGTGCTTAAAATATACTTTTTATAAAGCTCATGTGAATTAATGTACCTATAATCCCAGTGAACGTGTATATGTTACTTTATGAGCTTTGTTATACTTTTTTTTAATTGCCAATGATATATTTTTTATATAAATGTACAGAAAATATCAGTATGGTTAATAAAAAATTTAACAAATATGTTGTGAGGAAGATAATTTTCTACACTTCTGATTAAAAGTCAGAAATAAGTTTTATTTCACGCAGGTTAAAGTGGTTGTTAGAACTGTAAAGATTTAAAATGCAAATATTATAAAAACAGGAGCAAGAGATAAAAAGACAAATTGTTTATAGTGTGTGTGTTTAGATTCAGCAAAGGCTGTTTTGTGTTTGATCAAAAATTTTGTCATAAAATGGAAAATTAACTGGAGCTATTTTCTATGTGGCACAGTGGAGGAGGCACCATTATGACCTGGACAAGTACTGTAGTTTATTCAGAGAAAGAATGAGGATTTAAGGTATCAAACTATTGCTGTCTATGTAGACTTGTTGCACCAGACATCCCTTTTCACTGAGGGCACTTATCTGTGTGCTAATTAAGAGTTATTGCATTGCAATTAAATATGATTCTCTGACAAATGCATTATTTGAGGAATATACCATCTTTTATTTCAGGCCTTTCTACATGTTCCCAAAATACACTAAAAATGTTTAGTGCTGGGTGAGAAGGAAAGATAAGCTCAAGACTTTAGATCACCTTTATGAAGCATTCTAATTGAAAAAAACTTGTTCAAGCATGACTGCTGTATATTAATTTGCAAATCATAAGTGTGCTTATAAGTTTACATACCAAACAGATTCATAATTAGAGTTTTTATTTCACTAAATATAAACTATAAAAAAAAAAAAAAAAAAAAAAAAAAACATTTATGCTGATTGTTTTGGTTCATTTATTATAAAACTGAGTTTGTTTTTAAAATGATAATAAAAACAGAAGCTTCATTATAGGCCAGAGCCTGCATATATTGAAGGTCATTCACAAGATTTTTGGGTGAAAAGCTGCACATAGGTTGATATGGTACAGTTATGATTATCGTTTTGAATGAAAAAATTGGAAAAAGGAAAATTATGACATGCCAATTTCCATTAAAGACAGAAAAAAAATCTGCTGCAAGTAATAAGTGTTACACAATAATTTTTATGTATTAGTACAGGGTTTATTTTTTTTAATGCTCATTTAATGCTCCTAGAAATTATTTTAATGCCAACAACTAGTACCCATGACTCTGATATATATATATATATTTGTTTTTTTTTTGTTTGTTTTTTTCAGAAGAAAAGAATAAATAAAATACATTTTTTATAAACATGGCAAAATCCTTCTTTATCTTTACCGTCGACAGACTCCAGACATGTCTCAAATTCCTCGTTTTAATTAGCATTTTCCCATTCCTGTCTCAAGCTTCTTTTCCAAACATATGGCTTTACGATCAACTGCAAGCAGTTCCGCACAAAGACACTGAAACAGTTATATCTGATGTATTTGACAAAATAGTTTTTATAAACGTTCTTTTTTTAATTTGAGCATTCTAAATGCCACAATAATCACATTTAATAAATTTTAATGCCAATTAAGGCCTTCATTTAAAAAAATTGTACTTTAATGACTTTTAATGATTTTCAATGACCCACGGAAACCCTGTAGTACGTTTGCCTGTAGTTTTGTGCTATTTCAATGTATTATTTTCTTAAATGGGAGGCCATGTAAACAGTAACTGGACATCCTGTAAACAAGCCAGTGGTTTACAGTTACAGTTTTTTTTACCGTCCAAAGTTTGGGAAAAGATGAATTGATACAACGGTACTGAACTGCATGGTTATATACTGGTTGAGATCTTCATCTCATACGTTTGACTCTAGAAAGAAGTTTAAGTAAAGATTAAGCAAACAGTAAATTGTGCTAATGTTGCATCACTATGTTAACTAGGCTGTTGCCAGATTGATATGTGTAGAACTGTATTGAGTTCTACGTTATCAATCTGGGATGCCTGCCGTTCAGTCTGTCCGTGAAAAGGAGGGATGTTTAGTACAATACTTGAAGCTGATTGGATGACGTGCCAGCTACACTGAAAAAAAGAATTCAACCCCCTTTGGCATTTACTTAATCATATTTAGTTACTTTAACACAATTGTTTTATGTCCTACCCTGCTAACATGAAAGAATTGTGTTAAAGTAACTATATATGATTAAGTAAATACCAAAAACTGTTGCATTACTTTTTTCAGTGTAGTAACCACCTTCCATAATACGCTTCTAGCCAATCATAGAGGCAAATCAAGACATTGAAGAAAAGCACAGACATCTTTCCCATCTACAAATGCTGAATGACTGTCGTCATTCCTACAAGTCCAGCCCCATAAAACACTGCTGGCATCAGCTGGTTATCATGAGATGGACGTATTAGTGGGAATCCTTCAAGATAGATTTGTTTTGAGACTGAAAACTTAGATCTTGCGACAATCCAGCTTGCAGTGCAAGGTTATCACTATGTAGTCAGTGAGGAAAACTACGACTTGGAGTCCCACCAGGTTTCCCAGATGCTGCATAATATAGAAGAGAACAGATCTACCACTAATAACACCTAACATTCAAGATTTCCTAAATTTGATGCAGCAATATAAAGTCAGTATTTAACTTCCATAAGCTTATGGAATGTCTTTATATATGCATATCTTTATATTTGACCCGTTATGTAACAATATATCAGTGAGTTGTAAGTACCTCTTCCTTGTGTATTAGGACTACATGAGGAAGAGCAGTAGAGATAGCTGAACCACTGACCTTAGAAAGATCTCTCCAGGATTCTGGACAGCAACATAATTTTTAGAGCTCTTATGCTTTACCTCAAAAATAGATGCATATTTCTTTTAAGAAAACTTCAATGATCAAGTGGAATAAAATCCCCTCTGTTACCTATAATTGAGCTTTGTTTGGTTTTTGAGTAAAAGGTATTTTCCTATAGTATCACTGACAAGCCAGAGATTGTCCATGCATGATTTAAGTGATTGTAGGGTACGATCAAAGTGTTGTAGAGGAGCAAAAACCTATGATCACTTCACAGCAGCTCAATAAAAAGCATATCTACAGTATAGTGCCTGCTGCAAAAAGTAGAAATAGGGAATATATAGAATATAACAGGACAATTAATAAAACATTTTTGAGGGACTTCGACTGTCATTTAGAGGTGTTCAAACTATAAGAAGAAAATGAGGATGGATTCTAGGCATAGGCATCCTGTCTCTTCCCTGTACAATATGAACAGGTTGAAAGTCCATCATAGTAAATACAACATTTATTAAGACAGCTTTGAAGAGAAATTAGCAAGCACCAGGTCAGAAGCCTCGAAAGACAAAACACTGGAAAGCACTAGCATAAAAAATAAGTGGTTTGGGAGTGACCATGTGAGTCTCTTTACCTCAGTATGACTGAGCCACTACCAGGAAGGATGGGAGCTTTACCCTCTGTCAAAATGAAGTGCCTCAATTACTAGACTTTAAATCCTAACCTAAATACACTAAGTATCCAGCCGAACAATTTTTATGAGTATGTACATAAAGCAAAGTATATACTTTAAGAAAAGAAGGAGTGTTATGACATGAAAATGTAAAGATCATGTGCAAACAGGAAGATCGCTCCTTGTGGAGGATCTCCCCGACTGAAACACATTGAGGAACATCATGAAAATGTTTTTAAAACATGAATTAGTGTAAAAACATCTTTTACTCTTGTAGATCCACTGATCGTTTATCCCTTTAATAGCAATGATTGTTATTATTACTAATCTTGACATTATGCCCAAATATTTTCAAAGCTATAAAGATCAAATGAAACTCAGCTTTAGAGCACAACAATGAACAGGTAGAAGTCTTTTGGACACTTTTTCCCTATTTAGTCTTGATCAAGCGTCTCTTGAATATCTTTTTGTCTGATAGTCCAGGCTTTTTAGCATGAATATTATGAAAGAATGTGAAAACTATAAGGAAAACTAGAATTTGCATTGATGTTTGTATTCACTCACAGTAGGAACATCCATACACTTCAATGCGGAGACCAATGCGTCCCTCTTCACTCCAGGCAACTGGGATGAGCCTTAGGAAGCGAGCCACAATTCCCTGCTGTAGTTCATGACGAACTGCACTTTCTGAATTGGAATTTCCAGAAAAGGCCTGGGAAATAAAAACAAAACAAAACAGTTATAAATAACTATTCCAGCATTTATACACATATGACAATTATTTTAAAATAAAGAAAAATGTTTTTTAGAAAAAAGCTGTCACAAGACACATTTTGAGAATGTTAATAGTAAATTCTCCAAAAGAGTAACTGAGTTAGTAACTCAGTTAATGCACAAAATAACTACACTAGTCACTCTGCAAAGTAACTTTTTATGATCTAAAATGTTGAACAATTTGGATGTGTGTCCTGTTATTGGAACTTTAAATACAAACATAAGTTTAACTATGTATTATAAGATGTTTAAAATTTATTTTAAAATTGTTTTATCAGAGGAAAAAAACAAATGAGATGTATTAGATAGCTGTTTGTGATTTTACACCCCTCAATTAACATAAAAAATAGGTTTCAAGCTGAAAATAGATATTGTCTAGCCATTTAAAATAAATCAAATATACTCTGCAATAGAATTAAACAGGAGTTACACAGTTCCTGAAAAAAAAAAACCTTGCAGGACTGAATAATCCCAGTATATTTGTGTAAAAAATGGCAAACAATCCAAGTGAATCCAGCACAGCACAGAAAGTAAAAAGCTGCTGGTGGGCATCTGGCTCTCAGTCTGTTATTAGCGGGTAGGTGATGTGAAGATTTTTTTTTAGATTATGGATGCTTCAAACTTACATACAGTATATAAGGTCTTTGTTCCTGCACATGATGAGGAAATCACAGAGACATTTAGCCCTTGACTTAAGCAAGTGCTTCTCTTTAGAAATGCAGTCATTGAATCAGTGGCTCTGATCCATCGATTGTCAGCATTGCGTTCTGCGTTTCAACTCCCCTCTGCCAATCGGCATATGCCTATCTCAGCTCCTGTTACCCATCTCTACAGTAGAAAGCATTCATCCGTGTTTTGAACATGGTTAAAGCAAACGAGTAAATTCTACAAGACCCAACTTTCACAAAAGGAAACTATTGGTGCACAGATTTATCGGCCGGCTTTTCGATCTGCCTCAATTTTCTTAATTTTGGGAGGTCATGATCGGCCAATACGTAGATGTGGAACCGATCTTTTCCACTAATCTGATCTTCCTGTGTAAAACCCACCCACTGTCAATGCCTTAAACTTTGATTTATAATTGACAGTAGTTATTTCAGATGTTTTTTACTGTTTCATCAGCAATGATTAATGTTTTTTTGTAAGATAAGATTGAAATATCTTGTCTTGTTATCTCTATCTTATTATGATTTTAATATTTGATGTAGATTTTGCTTATTTAATTTCACATAAACAAACAGCATGGGGTCTCCTAGAGGAACCATGACAGCTTTGACATTTGCAGCATGGTTCTAATTATGTTCTTAATGACCAAAAAAGGAATAGGAAAGTATGGAGAATAATTTTTGTCCTCCATTACATTTCCATTTAAATTGTTAAATGTTTTCACTTCTGGATTTAAAGAATAAAGTACTTTTAAAATGCAGGTAAAACAGCCTACAATAACAGCACAAAATTATTTATGAGTAATGCTTTTATCATAGCATCTGAGTTGTGATGAAAATGTTTCCAATAATTAGTAAAAATAGACTTTAAAATTATTATTATACAACCTTGCTGAATGCAAGTTCACCTTGGCACGCATTCAGTTTAGTTTGTTTTAAGCTGGTTTAAGGAGCAGGATATAAAAGGAGAACCTTCAATATCACTTAAAATGACATCTAAAAATATAAAAACAACCAAATTCCCAAAATACCATAGCAAATTCAACAGAAACGTATAAAACATCATTATTCCATAAAGTGTATGTATTTGCTTAAAAGTACTTTACAAGATATGTTGAAATGCAGAAAAAATTATAAACTGGTTCAGATGTTTTTAGAAATGGAAGAGCAGTCAGGTGTCCAGTGACATGACTAACAGCAATATGGGGAAAACAGAAAGTGGAGATGGTAAGCATCTGGCATTGTAAGACAGGGACACTAGAACAGCCCCCCAAAGACCAAGCAAGCATATCACCATTGACACTGCAAGTATGACTATTATGACAGGTCTTGTTGAGCTTGCTTGTTGTTTGGATATGTCAGCTCTGGAAGCCAGCAACCACACAGAGAATCATAAGACATATATCAGATGGCTTCTTTTTATTACATTTGCCTTTTTACTATTAAACACAACCAGATTTACACAAGTTTCCTACAGATAATTCCATGTTTGTTGGAAAATATATCCTTCTAATTCATCACAACCTAGTGATAGGACTCACTTAAATGAGGTGCATGGAAAGCATCCAGACCAGGGGTGGACAACTCCAGCCCTTGAGGGCCAGTTTCCTGCAACATTTAGATTCATCCTTGGTCCAACACACCTGAATCAAATGGTTCAATTACCTCCCCAGTATGCAATCAATTTCTCCAGAGTCCTTTTAATTATCTATTTACTTGATTCAGGTGTGTTAAGTAAAGACATATCAAACAGTTTCAGGATACGGGCCCTCCAGGACTGGTGTTGCCCACCCCTGATCTAGACTATATCATTAACAACACACAAATTATGAAAGTTTACTACATTTTATAGGTAGATCAAGCATTTTTTATTGGTTCTTTTTACCTTTTTATAGCACTTCTCTATCTTTTTTTCTAGAAAGTTGTCCTATGAAATCTATACCACTATACGTCATGTTTTCACACAAACGCACAAAACAATCACCACATTATGCTCTGGAAATAGAGTCACCATTGAGAAAGAAAGCTGCACTCAAATAAAAAGAAAATTACACTCCTTCTGTCTGAAATCAAAATCAGAATCATACAGCTTTAGTTTTTTGTTAGTTATACATAATTACAATTTTTTTCAAAATTGCTCCAAGATTTATTATTATTATTATTATTTATTCAAAATACTGGTGGGCCGTTATTGGTGTTAACGTGCCGCATTAATGTCAGACTCTTATCGGGTGATTAACAACAAAATGTCGCCATTAATCTATTCTCAAATATGATTGGGAGCTGGTTTTATACTAAGTAAGCTACCATGACTTTTCCCTTCAAATTTAAGCACGGATATATATCTGCCGCGGATGTATATCTGGGGGCGACAACAAATCAGTCTTCCAACCTGTTTAGGCCTACTCTGAAATTAGCAAACTGAACGTGAAGTGCTAACATGGATGCAGCTATAAAGCCACTGGGTTTGCTTCAGGGAAAATTAAGAATTTAAGAAGCTTCCCAATAGAAACCTTGACAAGACTAAAGCTGTTTGTTTCTTGTTCAATGCGGAATTAGTACCACCTAAACCTAAAGCTTCACTTAGTCAATGAGGAAGATGGCGACCGGGTCAAGCACTGATGTAGAGCAGGCCAAGAGTCGTGTTCGTCAAAATACAATGTTTGAGTGCAACCGAGGCAAGGCCCTCAGCACAGCTCTACAGTCAAGCTATCCAATCTCCTCGCTCAGTGGATTGCCGTCAGACGCCAGCCGATCTTCATGGCTAAAGACAATGGGCTCAAGCTTGTTCTCAATGCGGCTACAGGCGACCCATCTTAAAAACTACCTGTGAGCCTAACTATCATAAGCAAAATCAATCAATGTAGCTTAAATTTCAAGAGTTTCATGTTTATTATTTTTTATTTTTTCTTCAGACCACAAGAGACATTACTAATACCTGGCTTGAGGAACCCGTTCAAAGACTTATTTTTACTTAATATTTAGGTGGCACACACATATCATGAATGCCTTTGGCAGAATTCAAATGTGTAGAATTCAAATTTAATCTAGATTAATCTAGATTAATTCCAAGATTACAGTGAGATTAATCTAGATTGACAAGAAATAATCTATTCTCACCACTAATTCAAACTTATTGTACAAGAAATGTTGAGTGAATCCTAAAGTTATGTGGGATGCAGTTGTGAAAACAAATGTAATTAGCTGAATAATAATTATCATTAAATTAGCTCAAAATGCTTCGTCAAGCCAAAGGAATAGGACATGTATGATAGTTGATTATGCCTTTTTTTTATTTAATTTTGAGTTCTTGCAATTCTTTTTGAAAAAATAAAAAAAAATAATGAATGGATGTTGTTTGAATAACAGTTTATAGTTTTCTTACTGTCCTTGCATGTCATCTTACTAAAACCTTTTTGACTATCTAAAAAACTTCTAGATCAACCAGTGCTAAATAATACTTTAAGTCATCTCTTCAACCATCTCAGTCACATCTATCTTTTCCACATCACCTTTGACTCCTAAACCTTAGCGCCCAATGATGTAAGAAAAAAAGACAGAGTGCCTTGAAAGCCAATTGTACAGGCCACTGGATTATGTCAGAGCAGTTATGTCCATTTCTCATACAAAGACTATGATTGGGAAATGTCCAGGTTGTTTTATATTCCTCATACCTTGACAGCCTGAGTTGCTTTCATCTGTTGTTTCATGCATCGTTGCTGTAAGTGGATTGGATGTCAGATCTCAATGACAGGCTACTGGAGTGAATCTCCTGACAGTGTATTCAATCTTGTTTCCTGATTTATGTATTACTTTGTTTGGATTTTTATGGAGTAGTGGTTATAGAGTGATAGTTGAATGTGTGGCTGATGCGTTGAAATCCAGATAGAAAGGTTATTTTCAATTTAGATAAAAAGAAACACCAAAAGAATATATCTTGGTTTTTGATTTATTTTCCATTGAAAACTATGAGTGATATTTTTAAAATCATTCCTCCCACTTACTCTGCTTTTCTTCACATTTTTTTCAGTGGAACCACAACATGAAGGAAGAACCTCTAACTGTCCATTAATCCATCTCAACTCAGTCCCTAAACTATTTTCACCTCTTTTCCCCTGCATCCTGTGTGAAATAAACATGTTAACCAAGCCCCCCTTTTCATTCACACACACACACAATGCAGCTGCCATAAACTGTTGGGGAAACAAA